AAAAATAACACCCAGTTATAAAATATCTACAGGTAATCTACCCAGGATTCAAGCAAACCAAAACGATCAATACAATGTCACAGCACTCATTACTGCCAACTTACACTCAACGTGCATAGCATTTTTCACTGTACACAGCAGTTCCAATCGAAAAGGAACGTCGATTAAATGAAAGCAAGTGCGTAAATTACTGAAGGGAAAAATTAGAGAACACTGTTACTCAAATGAGGAACTGCAGTATAGCGTACTCGATGGATGGCTTAATAGTTTCGTCGCTATAGTTTTAACTTGACGTTGAAAAGTTAAGTGCATAGGGCCAAAAACTGTGGTTCCATGTTGCGGAGTACTGGTGGACTTTTCTGATTTAGACCTAATTTCGGCTCCCAAGAATTCCCGCTAGTAAAATCCAAATATCCTCGTAAATGCCTAAGAGGTTTCTTAATATTGTTTCTTTTCTGGATACTTAAATGTAAATAATGGAGTGGTTTGTTGCGACCGGTACTCAGCGCATTCGTTGATCTAATCGTTTATTTTGTTTCCCAGCATCGGTAAGTTTTTGGCATCGAAGGATATTCCTTAATTCTTCCACGCAGTCACGACGTGGACTACATTTTAAGATAATTGACCACCTGAAAACGGAGTTGGTTTGTATGTCGCCATGGGAAACTATGTGAAAAAGTTTAAAGTTCGGTGTTTCTCATCACCAGATTTGCTTGGTTAGATGTGTTTCGTTACACATCCCAAATAAGTGAACAGCTTTCCATCTAAATAGCAGAATGTTTCAGTGGTTGAGGGATATCGAAATCTTACAAGGCAGATTTTAGGGCCACCGTTAGTTAGGTACTAAGTGGCGGAATTACTAAATCGAAGAGCGGTTTAACTATTTCCCTGTCGAATTTGTCTATGTCATTTGGCCTCTGTGTTGTGAAAATGAGATAAATCAGGGTGCAGCTTCCTGGCAAATGTTTTGACTTTATGTCCGCATCAAAATTTTGACACACATTTTGACAACAGAACTCAATAAAGATAAATATTAAATCCCGGCAATTTTTAAATATGGTGCTTGACGAAGTACTATTCAATTATTTCCGCTGGCTGTGTTGGTGATAAATGAATGTGCTGGCGTGGAATAAAGACGGTGTTAATTTTTACTGGATATTGTTCAAACGCAAAATTTAGGGAGACAGCTAGGAAAACGAACTTAAATTTAGAAAATGCGTGTTCTGGCCTGAACTCATAACATGAGTGGATAAGAGCCTTGTTGAATTCGTCAATTACCACCGAACGATCTGCGTCGCCGAGCCGTTTTTACTAATCGCTAATTTACTTAGTTATCTTTATTTTTATTTACCTTCTAGCAAGCTGAAAGAGATTCCATCAATAATCGACGGAATTATTCTCCATATTTCCATGTAACTGCAACATTCATTGTTTTCTGCCATTCACTGTGCATCGTGTCATCTTTTTGTATCCACAAATATTTAGATTATGTATTGAGGCATAGCGATAAATAACGGTACCTTCATCCAGGCTTCGAGGGGTTTGTAAACCAAATGTCTATGCTAGAGGGCGTAAGTTTACGATCGATGAACTCACACCGCAGACGCACGTACTGCGCAATGTGGTATTTCCCCACATATGCTAGGGTAAATCTGGTAGAGAAAGAAATAAATTTAATAAATGCGTTTCGTCCTCGTGCATTTACATTATTTCTAGGACTATTTGTTCTGTTGTACATGTACGAAATATCACAAACTGATTAGAAACATTGCATAATCCATGCAAAGCTGGAGCGCATTCGTGCGAAAAGTTACGTGTTGACTGTTGAAAAGCAACGTACGTCAGCCGACAAGAACCCAGCAGATGTAATGAGCACGTTGCAGAATATTTCACTCTAGGCATACCCACTGACTATCATCTCTAACTGACTGATTTTTTATTATAGTACTTGTTCGCAATGACAAGAACAAGACCGATGCCATGACGTGAGCGGCAGCTTCAGAGGTAGCAGATGGTGGAACTAGAATTCTGGCCAGGTTATTGATCTAAAGCTGGCAGAGATATTGTGTCTGTCAGGCCACTCTGACGCCTTGGATACAGTGTCGATGCCACTGAACCACGGGAAACAACGGTATCACTCCACTACCTTTTCAATTCTCTCGAATTTAGCCATCTCCATCATACATTTCGCTCAGCATACCTATTCCTCGCCAGCCTCTCCTAATTGTAGCATCAATGCATAGTTCCGGTTTGTCCTGAAAAGGACATCTGCGGACCAGTTTAAACGGAGATGTAGGCAGGACAGGGAAATACGACAATGCCAAGCCTGAAACAACTTGACACTGTGCATATTAATCTTTAAAGACCTCGCACTGTAAAAAGACCAATTTGCACAGTCTGCTGCATTCCATGCTAGAAATATGATGTAAAGTATGCTAGTCAGACTGGCAAACGCCTCAACACACAATTGCAAGAACACCGTGATCCTGACAAGCGAAAGGATAATTTGTTACCCTTCCTTGGTCTACGGACACGGACGACAGGTGAAACATCGGTTCGCATCTGCGAAATCGAGGGCCATCATCCCAGTTGATGACATGCTGACCAGACTGATATTCCAAAGTAGATTCTCAAATGGCGCACAACCGAGTTCTGGATCTGCGTCCCGTCTACCACATGCCGCTTAAAAGGTTTTTCGGCAAATGATGCCTGATTCATTCACATAATTAGGGAGGGTACGACTAGGCGTCAAGCGACCATCGGAACACACCTGCCCACCGGAGGTGGCGGATTATTCTGCTCGTTGGCGACGGGAGGGCTAGTAGACATGCTGATTTCGCAGCAGATAGAATGAACGCAAAGAGAACAGAGGTAACGCCAGTTATTGAGAGGCAAAAGCTAGTCAAAAACAGAGACATGCTAACATTTTTCAGCTCAACAGGGATATACTATGAAGAAAACTACGAGACTGAAAAAAATACGACGAACTGGGACACCCATCTCACCTGTAAAATGATAAAATGAGGAGGATGCCAAAACTTTAGGTTAAATACATCTTGGTCCAACCGTCTGCCTCCTTTTTTGTCTTTATCTTTTTCTGCTCTTACGAGACGCCATTGTGCCTATGCGGACACGTGGATGTTGGTAGTAGGAAAAATGCCATTCGCCGGTGACATTTCAACAGAAGACAATACGTTCGAAGGAAAAGGCTTGTTGGAGAGATTTCCTTGGCCGAGTTTACAATTTAGCTGGATTTAAAAAACTGTTAGCAACATTTTAGGATGTCTTCTATTGTTCAAATTTTGCTTCGTTAGGTATCATTAAATTTATTCAGTTAAATCTGATTAAGGCAATACCCATTATGGTATCAGTTGGTAATGTGTATATGCATTCTAGGAGACTCTGTATATGTACGCATAATGTTCAAAAAAATGCCTGTACTTTGCCAGATATGACACATTAATCAGCCAAAAATGCTTGTCTACTGTAATTCGAAGCAATGTTGTTGAAAGTTCCACCCGAGCACCGGCCTGTATTATCAATAATAATGATCCGCTGCAAAGTGTTTAGTATTTAAAGCGGCACTTTGTAACACATGCAGAAGAGGCACATATTTTGACAGAGACTGTGAGAAATAATGAGTCTGAAGCTAGCTTGAATTTTCCGATCAACCGACAGAACTACATTTACCATGCACTTGGGAATTTGCAGATAGTAGAACAGCACGTGTATATACTAGGAAATACAGTTCTATGTGGCATCTCGCCAAGAACCTTCTCATTTGGCACAATTATGACTGACTCCTTTTGTTACCTAACCCTACTTCGATGGAAAATTTTGTTACGTCACGTATTGTGCAAGTGACGAAGTCTTGAACCAACCTGCCTGCCGCGATTGTGAGTTCTCTGTCTATGGAAACCTTCAAAAATGACCTAGTTCTAGTGGACTCTGATGTCCTCTTGCATTGTTACCAAAGCTTCCGACTCAAATGTGGCAAATATGAGCCTGAAAGATACATGCCTTTCTCTTCAAGTCAACGTGACGGAGCAACGTTTTCTGGATTCTTCCTTTTGAATCTCGTTTTGTAATTTTTAGAGAGATTAAAATAATTCCTACACCTCATTCATGTACCTTGAGTTTTACAGCCACAAAACGTTATGCGGACATTTATCCAGCTCTCTCTTCCTTAGGCTTGCTTATGATTTATAGTTCTTATCCACGGTAATTACCTGGCCGTACCTCTATGCCGCCAATTTTATCCCGTCGCGAAAGGTCTTTTTGTATCTGAATTTCCAATTCAAAGAATACTCATAAAAATGGCTCAAAAACGTCTGCTCTTAGGACGTTTGTCTAGTCATTTATAAATCGGACCAGACTAAACACTAAATCGGACATGCAGATTACGGTGGGCAAGGTGTTAAACTGTACAGCCCACTTACTATTTTTGGCCCATTTATTATTCTACACTGTCCCCCTTTTGCAAAGTGGAACACCATTTGTGTTAATTCCAGCTGCAGGCCCACAAGCTTGATATTTGTTTTTGAATAGCATGTGCACATGCACGACCGGATCAGCGTAAATTTTCTAAGCCGAACTAGTCTTCACGCGTTAAAATGAAATTCACCTGAGCGCATATAGGCAATGCATGTCACTTATTGATTAAAAAGCAAAGTCATGTGCACTACACCGCATCCCTTATGCAATGCGGTAACCTATTAGGGTGGACTCTGTTTGCAAATCCATTGGTTAGATATTTGTTGTTGAATATCGTGTGAAAATTAGCAGTATACACATTATGGACTTCCCAATCTGTAACAGCCAAACCAATCGTCTCGGCTTAAAATTTACTTTGATTGAGCTTCGTGACGGCATCGGCCACTATTTGTTGTCAACAGAAACCGTCGGATAAATACCACCCGCAAGTGCCCGATATACGTGTTCTTTCAAGACAATATGTTCCGCATCTTGTATATTCTCGTCGTAATCCACATTCTGCGAGGATGTCCCAAAGTCGAAGGTGTGTTCTAAGCCGTTTACATTTTTCGGACTAATTTTTGGGGATCATTACTTCCTTTTAGTTGGGTTTCTGTTATGCTTTTTTAAAAATTGGAACTATACAATCATTCCTAGTATAATAAAACTTAGCAGTTAAAAAATGTTCTGTTCGAAATATTGGGCATGTCACTGAAATATTCCATTAAACGCCCCGTCTTATCTTGTGCGGTGCTCGGGCTTTACATGGAACCGCAGCATTTCCAGTCCGGAGCCTAGCAATTCAGGGTTATCAGTTTATCATTACTTCTCCTGCCGCTATAAGAAAGTGAGCAAACAGAATAATTTACTTAAAGGAAGGCGTCGTGCATCGGCAAGGCTACACTACTTTCTAAATGCAATCATAAGTAGGTGATGATGGAGACACGACTCTGGGGACACGAACTCTAGTCGTCTGATTTTTCGGATGCAACCTCTAAAACATCATCAGAAGTGGCGACAGCGCAACTCAGTATTGTCTTCTTCGGCCAGCTGTACGAGTAGAGTAGGTTGAATAATGAAATGTTATTAAGCAAGGATTGCTCCATGGGGTTAGACAGATTGGTTTGCGCGGTCTACGGACAGCTCAGACCGCTCGGCAGCTTCATCACGACGATTGTCAATCTCACATAGTCTCATAGATTGTATAGGTGAACATCCATACAGTAGATAAGCTAATTAGTGAAATTGCAACAGGAATTCCGAAATGCGTACTCGTTTCAAAAAGATTAATTAAGTAGGGTTATGAAACTGATAATCATGCAGTATAATTCTATAATGATCGAGTTACCACGGGATTTCGGCTTTCAAATGAACTTATGCTCGACTGCATGCAAGATCAATACTCTGTAAAAATGACTTCTTAGTTAATATGCAATTTTCTTGTTGATTTTCAAAGCCCCTTAAAGTCTAAAGTCTAATTATAGTTAATGGAAAACATATATGAAAATATTCATCTTTTGCTCATGCTGTAGCAAATTACGTCTTCCTTCAAATTTATGCTCAAAAGAAGAGTATAATTCGATTTCAAAAAGTTTCTAACTGTCGGATTTTTTAATACCGTGAATGGTCGTTCATGAAACGTCATGTATCTGTAGTTACGAGTGTGGCTTGTAAAGTTGCCAATGTTGCTCAAATTCACTGTCTAAATTTATGAATCCCATATGGTTTCCCCTTAATACCGTAGAAAAATGCATGGTTTTCCCCATACGGAAAATATACGGCTTGTAGTTTTGAAACCCTGAATGCAAGTGTAACAGCAGGTCGGGTTTAAGATAATTCGGGAATTAGAGAAATTTTTTAAAGGCCAAATTTTACTCTTCTTTGGAGTATAAAATCGAAGGAAGGCGTGATTTAATACCGAATGAATAAAAGAATAAATAGTTCTATGCGTTTTCCATGAAATATAATTAAATTTTCAAGGGCATCGAAAATCAATGAGAAATTTTAATGTTACTTAAGTAGTCATTTATGCAGAGTGTTGTTCTTGCATGCAATCGAACATAAGTTAATTCGAAAGCCGACACCAGGCGGTAGTTGGGTCATTATAGAATTATGCAGCATGATGTTTACTTTTACACTATTACTTAATTAATATTTTCGAAACGAGAACGTATTTTTAAATTTCGGTTGACATTTTATGAGTTAGCCCACGTACTGCATATATGGGAATTACAGTTCGTTCCATTAGTCAGCCATCAAATTTAATCAGTTAGAGGGAGAGCTTGAACGATTAAAAACTTCGTAACAGTGTAATTTAGATCCACTTGATTATACCAAGGCAAAAATTAAGCGAGTAACTAGAAGAAAGGCAAAAGGATTTTAACTAAAGAGCACATTAGCAACGCCCTCTTTAGCTAAGACAACACAGCCAGAACGAGGAATGAAAAGAGGATTCGAGAATGGCCAGTATTAAAACCAGAAAATTCTAGGAAATATAAAGGAGGCTACATAAGTCACTGGAAATGGGCAGCTGCTTCCTAGTGATATTTCCCCTACACCTGGATGAGAGACCTCGACAGCCGTCTCGTCCATAAGAGTTAATGCCGAGAGTCCTCAAGCCTTTATCAACACCCAGAAAAAATTCGATTTTAATAAACCCAGCCTTAATTTCGGATTCTCACTCGAACCCATCATCAAAGACAGTCACAGATAAGGATAATGGTGGCACAGGGAGCGCAGAATTTATAGCACGTGGCTGCTGTTGGACCATATGCGTACTGTAACTAACAGCCAGCACAATCACCGCTGGGATTTTATGCAATCGTGGCTTGTCAGTCAGCGTCCGAATCGTCAATCACAGCAGTTGCATAAGGCGCTATACCGGCGTATTGAGATGAAATGGAAGACAACGTTGTTGAATTACAATAATTCCGACGGGTGCTGAGAGCTAATGGTTACCCGCGCAACCTTGTCAACTACGGCGTACCCGAACGGCACCAGAGACCAAATCCAACCGGCCCAAAATGTTGGCGTGCCTTCCGTACGTGAAGAACGTCTCGGAAGCCGTCAGTCGTTTTCTCACTTCACGTGGAGTTGGGGTTGCACACAGACCGGAAACAAACGTCAGTCGGCAAATCTTGAGGCCGGAAGATACAGTGCCACGGTAGGATACGTCTGGAGTCGTTTACCGGATCTGGTGCAGTTGCGGACTAACCAACTATATCGGAGAAACTGGGAGATCACTCCCTACGCGCAACGTCGTGCACGCAGCAGCAGTGAGGATGGTAGACGCTAGCTCTGAGGTGGCGGCTCATTTAACGGGACCCGGCCATATTTTCAAGTTAAATGAGGCCGAAATCCTCGCAAGAGTGACAACCGCGTGAGCCACGACCTACTCGAATCATGCTTCTCAGGCACGCAATCCATCAACAAGCGCAATGACCTCCTGTTACCGTATCCCGTGCTGCGATCTTCCCTGGGCAGGGGAATCAGTCACGTGGGGCGCGGTTGAGCAATTATCCCAATGGCAGTGAGCCAGTCTGCCGAGCAATTGTCACATCAGCATCTAACACGGATGACGAAATCCCGGTAATTAAATATTCGGACACGGGCTGGCAAGCCCCCATCGCATCAATTACGACCTCAGTGGTGAATGCGACAGCTGTTAGTTACAATGCGCATATGGTCCCATGGCAGCCACGTGCTATAAATACTGCATTCCCTGTGCCACCATTACCCCTATCTGCGACTGTCTCTGATGATGGGTTCGAGTGAGAATCCGAAACGTCAGGCCAATAATTCTCTTGTTCCATTGATCGCATCTTCGTTTTCTGAACGGCTACCTGGAACTCGCCTGTTCGTTTCTATTCAGGGTCTCTCTGCATCAGACATCAACACCCTTGAGGAGCGGTTTCCGGAAGGTCAAACGTTCTCCAAAGGTCAACCTAATAATATTATAGGAGTCACTAGGACAATTTAAGTGCTTAAAGCCCTGCGTCGCGGACATGCACTTAGTCAGAATCAGCATGCCTCCGACCTCTCAAAAGTGTGATGGACTGCAGGAACCAAACCTATCTAATGCTCTTCGGGTATTTTAGTATAAAAGGTTCCAACCCCGCGTTCTTTCAATCGGACTACTCGCCACCGGAACGGCTGAAACGTTGTCAACTTGTTCTCGAAATTATGAAGAGGCTCATAGAGAGAGGACGTAATTTAATCATCTGCAACAACCAAGACGGGCATTACACATCATTTTTCTATTGCACTGATCCTTTCTGCATGACCTCGCAGCCGAAACAATGGAAAAAGTTTCGAGCATACGAATGCGCAAAACATATTATCAAAACTTGACGGGCTGAGCTATCTCCAGGTGTAATCTCGCCGACAGAAACATGGTTGCCACAACTCGTGTATGACCTTGAATTGGCTAGATCAGTATGCCTGCTCTTTAGAAGAGGCAGACCAGGACGTTAGGGAGGAGACATACTTGCGTACGCAATAGATGCAGATGAAACAAATAAACTCGCATGTGCTTCCGACACAAAATGCTTGATTACTAAAGTGCGGATACACCAGGCTTCGAATTTCTAGAGTCTCCTAACCGCCGAGAATTTGTATCGCTGCTGACGCCTACATAGCACATGAGATAAAACGATTAGTTATTCGGTCCGACGCCTTGATCATGGGAGACTTTAATACATCACTTTTTGATTAGTGTTTAATTCAAGCATTCCATCTAGACCTAACTTTTTATTGACGTTTACTAAACATAACGCTCAAGTTATCCCTTACTAATCACGTCGTGTTTCTCATGAGGGTACGTGAAAGGTAACAGTCACACTGTCTGGATTTGATGCACACGAAATCGCTGGATATGACTGATGAGGTGCGATGCCCATCTCTCCCAGGTCGGACCGACTTTATCGTATTTTTGTCTTCTGTGCCCGAACAACCCACCGAACTCGGAAGAAATACTTTGCGTGGCAAATTCTACCAAATTAAAACGCAGATGAAAAGCAGGAAATTGGAATCTGTTTTTGGGCAACAGAATCGCGGATTCCGGTTGTTTCAGTGATTATTGTACAGTCTTCTCGGAAAGTACTGTGCTATTTCACGGAAGAGATCGGACGGCAGACCCCAATTTCTAATATAACATTTAAAGAAAGAACAAAATAAAAAGAGAAGGTTGTGGAAGACATCTCTCCCAGATGGAAGTCCTGTTTTCACAAATGCATACGAAGCGCGGAGAGACCTAAGCAGTTTACCTGTCACTGAGACGCCGCACGTTTCCGAACAAAAATTGCTGAACCAGTTCGTAGAGCATTTGAAATTATTCAATGTTGCATAAGAAGGAGGAGAAGAAATCGAGACCCACCTCTCCCCTTGAAAATGATGAAGTTTAATGAGGAGGAAGCAAAGACAGAGTAGTTTGCACAATTTGTCGATTCCATCTTTACTCGTGAAAGTCAATTTTTCATCCCACTCCGACTTAATGGGAGTCCCGAAGATTGAAAATGTTTCCTTTACTGAAACGACTGTTCGCGAACAACTGTCTAGGCGGACTGAGTCAAAATCGCCTGAGTCAGATGGCATACCATCCGTTAGAAAACTGTCCAAACTGCTGTGCATACTCCTCCAAGACCCGTTCGAAGGAGGCTATTTGACCGCCAACTGAAAATCTGCGCGAACGATGCAAAGTCCCTACAAACATCTACAGCTCAAACAGCCCCAGTTTACACTGCTGCATAACGTTTGAAAAATTAGTAAGCGAGGGGCTAGTGAACCTTCTGGAGCAGCATACTCTGCCATACAGTGCCCAGAATGGATTATGTAGAGGCAGATCATGCGTAACAAACCTGCTCTAGTGTTTGAAACTCTGGACCCGGGAAGCTGATGGACTGAATGCAGGGCATGCAGTCTATGTCGACTTTGAGAGCGGTCGATAGTGTACGCCATCAGCGATTTCTGTACAAATTTAGCCGCACAAACATAAGGGGTAATTTACTGACGTAAATTCGAACCTTCATGATCGGATGTTCTGAACTTTCCCATGTCAGTAACAGGCAGTCAGCAGAGGTAGCGATTAAAAGGGACGCACGTCAAGTCTCCTTTTTGGTTATACCCTCTTCATTACATATGGCAGCGGCTGCGTCTGGGAACTTGATTATGATGTTCCCATATTTGCCGATGACGCGGAGCCTTGTAACTTCATCGAAAGTCTATCTGACGAGGAGCGCTCTTAGGCAAACCTGAACCGCCACGAAAAATAGACTGACTTTTGTAACACCCTGCGAGTCGCTGGGACCTGTTTCTGAAACTCCGGACTTTCCCACCTAAATGGCCTGTTATTACAGAAAATAGACGCTCACAAGAACTGGGCCATGTAGATAACGTCTTTACTCAAACTGTCGCTGCCCTGCCCAAGGGTAGCTAATTCCGAGATTTCAACCCTGTATCTTGTTGGGCGGGCTTTATCGGTCTCCACTGAAGGCTTCTTGGCCAAAGTCTTTCAAACGTCTGTGATATCGTTAAAGATCGCTATGCAATAGTGGAAACCCTGGGCCGTTAAAGACTTCAACCACCTCGAAAAGTTTAGAGGCATACAAAAAAACTCGTAGGTGGACAGAGCTCGCTAACCTCTGAAACGCGGTTATGAAATCTTGACCTGTTTCCTCTGAAACACAGACAGCTAATACACAACCCCATAAGGATATTCCGCGTTGTGTTCTGCCAAAACTGACATCTTGTACCTGGAGACTTTTTATGATTAGTACCCACACTGTACTTGCGAGGTCATCCATTCAAACTACTTGTGACTGACTCCAGGCTGGACATGAAAATCCTTCTCCAACAGGGCAGTAATGCTTCGAATACTCAATCTGCAGATAGCATTAGGTCTACTTCAAAAGAAAGTTGACTCAGTATGCCGTTAAACATTTTAATTCCAAGCGAACTATCTCGCCTTGCCGCTCCGTGTTAACAATTAATTATCTTTAAATATTAACGCCTATACCTCAGTAGCATTTGTTTTTTTTTAACTTTTATTATATTCCCAAATGCACTGCACTCCTACTGACATCCCGTTATCGTCAGTGGATAACTAAAAGCACACTACCTACACTGTAACCCAATTATATATATATATATGTTGGCGGCTGCATAAAGTACTTAATTAACAGTGTTTATAACATATGCAGTAATTAATTTATGTGCTGCCCGCTAATTCGACTGGATTTACACAACTCTGGAACATGGGATGGAAATGAATTAATGCAATCTTTTTCACAGCTTAAACTACGACTAAGATATACTGCAGTTTTTTTTTCGAAATATGGTCTCAGTTTAAGTTCGTAATAAGCACATTATAATGTTTAAACTAGCTCCATATCAATTGATGCCAATGCGCTGCTTGGAAAATGGATGGCCTGGAAATGGATGTGGTAGCATGAGGGCCGATTTTTTGGGGCAATTACGAAACGATTGGGCTCTCCAACTCAACACGAAGAGGTTTTTCATAGAAAAAGTAAAAAATTGCCAAACGGTAGACTACGATAGGAAAAAAATCGTTAATTAACGAACGTTAAGTAAACTAGGCGGAATGTTACTACCGACAAAGGCAAAGGAGACTGGAATGAACATTTCTGGCTTATCATCCGTCGTCAGCTATTCTTACCTAACCCCCGGTGGTTATAGGGGGTTGCACTTCTAACTAACAGGTCGCGAGATCAAGCCTCAGGTGTTCCACACTTCGGGGTTGAGCATGGCCGGTTGAGACGGCTTATAAGCCAGCAATGGTCATTCCAGTCTCCCTTGTTTTGTCGATAATAAGATTCTACCTATATCATGCGCAGCTATGCGGCCGCTGGTTGCGCTCGAGAGAGAGCACTAAGACAAAACGGGTTGGGTGAGTTCTGCCGAACGATCGGTGTGCGTCCTTCCACTATTATATGATGAACTCTTAGAATCTCAGACTTGACGTTGATACGGGTTGTTGAGAAATAGATATTAGCCAACAAATGACGGTCCATATGTCTTAAAATACTGACTATCTATGAGATGGAAGGCGCTTTATATCATTAGAAGTATTTTTTCTTGTGAAACTAACGCAGAGACACAACCGGAGTTCGACCGTCGTTTTCAACAATAGTAACCGTGTGTTGCGCAGCACGTTGATTTTTTTATAATGCTAGTAAGCTTGCGCAGTATATACCGCACTTACTCCTCCCCTAATCGGGACCGTGTTTAATGATGGAGTCAAGAAGACCGGTGATGGAATAGCATGCAGGTTGTTAATGTTGCAAAAACCCGTATCTAGGCACGTACCACCACACTCCATGATCTACAACTGACCAGGATTTTATGCAACAAAAAAACAGAGGACGGCACAGGTCCATGCTGGCGCGGTGTGTGCGCACGGTCACACCCTCAATGTAAATAAATTTTATGGGTGTGCCTTCCAGTGACGCCTGCAGGTCACACATACACCACAGTTCGACCGTCGCGTCCGACGATGTCCACCGTGTGCTCCACAGCAGGGTAAGAGCAGGGACGGTGACTTGCGCGGGGGTTACATTGAGAGTAGACTTACGCTGCATCTAGCACACTCGCTTCTCCTCCCCCACCAGGACTCGGTGTCAAGACAGAGTCAAGAAGACCGGAGACGGGGGTGGATTGCACGATCGAGCCCGCGCCTCGGAGTTCCACTCCACACCCCTTGGCCCACACAACAAATAACCACACACGTATACACACACACACACCTAAAAACGATGTTATCCATGGGTTGGTATACAAGCCTAGATAATCGGTCTTGGGATTTGTTTGCATTCCTGTTTCTGCACACCAGCACACATTTAACTTTCTCTTGAAGGCATTTCAGAAGCGCTTGCGCCCCTATTCACTGGTTTCATTCAAAATGCCGGAATGTTATAGTTAACTTTTTTAAGACCAGAATGCTTTTTTAGCAGTAGTGCCTGATACAAGACAGGCAATGGCGTATTCAGTAAAAACCCATGCATGTTATTTAAGAAATTGCTCATTACCAGCCAAGATGGGAATAGCAAAGACCCAAATAAAACTAAGTTCACTCTCTTCTTTACGGCAGCGCTACACGATCAGGACCCAAGCGACGTCTCTGCTGTGCCTCAGAGTACTACCTCCATAAACTCAGCTGGAAAGCACCTCGCGGGGAGGTTAAGCAATTTTCAGGCTACATTGTTTATGTAAGTGGCAAGGCTTCACGTGAAACGAGGGACACAGAAGCTACCTTCTCTGACCTCGCTCCGTCAACGCAGTACTTTTTCAGGATACATACAGTACGTTATGGCTATATCTTCATTCAACCGGGAGTTTTCGTCCATGCAAGAACGTTCGACGAAGGTAAATTGCAATTTCGACTTATATGCACCTTCTTGTTCATAGACCCACGAAATCGCCGATTGATCAGATTGGCTGTATCAGAGACAGTGATCCAGATCTGTCAAATGTCCCTTATCAGTCTAAAAACTAGAAGCTCAGACAATCCCAACGTAGATGTAACGCTCCATTCGCAGTAACCTACTGCCTAACAGACAATTACTGGCCGTCGAGAAAATTCGCCATCAAAACCCAGCAAAATAACATGATCATTTTGAATTATAGACCACCGTAAGCCGGTTTTATCATGGCTACCCGCGTAGCTGATATCCCCAATATGTAAAAATCAATTTCAGAGTGTATCTTAGAACCCTAAATGATATGTGTGCACCTCCTTCGACATGTAACAACGACTAAGGTTGGGAAACCGCAAACTCTCTTGGCAGTGGAGTCCAGTGATGTCCCCCCTGGTCGTAGGTAGAGCCAGAACTGGCTGTCTATGATAAACAGACCAGCAATCGCCATCCCAATGTCCCCCATTTGTCCGAAAACTCTTGACAGGGATACTAAATAAACTAGAAATTAACCTCCTATTGACAGTGTCTTTTGGTAGGAATCCTCCGTCACTCGTTTGTCCGGCATAGGCATTCCGTTTTGACTACATAATTGAAGACATCTGGTACAGGTTTCAAGCTTTACGACAGTGGTAAGATTCATTTCTTTGGCCTTACTACGCATTTATCAGCATGGTGCATGTGTATTAAGTTACTGAAAGTAAAGCATTTTTATATAGGTTTACACATCTTTGATGTCCAAGTCATCCAGAATGCATATATGAAAATTAAAAAATATTCCCATCGGTCTCATACAGTCAGATATAAATGTCTAGGCAAGATGGCGCCGACAAAGTCATAGGAGACCGGAATGCGCCTTTCTGACTCATCCGTCGTTACCAGCCAGGCACGCTCAAACTCAGCTTTGCTTCGCCTGTGATTCTAGTCCGAGATATTTGGTCGTTAAATATGACATCCCTCATCTGCGATAGCTCATCCACAAACATCATTATTCACTATGTGACTGCCTGTGAGGGACAATATTTAAACCGCCAGACACAAAAGGAATGGTGCGTTCTATAACCTCATCGGCGAGCAAGCACGTGTTTCATTGAGATTCTGCCGCTGTGCGACACTGCTGCCAGGGGTTCGGCTACTCAGTAGATCCCCTGCGTTTCCTGTGCAGTTTCTGCTATATGCACTCCAGAGAAGAATCAAGCAAGTAATTTCAGAAATTATTCAGTGTAGGACATGGAGTTAAGTCTCCGGGATATGACTTTATACGGTCAGACCGGCAATTTCAATGAACACTCGATTCGAAGCAATCTACAGCTGTGAAACGATCATGTAGTGTCCATTCCACAAACAAGTTATACTTCGAGTGGTATGGAACCTATATGGCAAACTATTATGCCGTATTATACCGCATGCATATTATGATGATATGGTTGCGGGTCATTTTCCTCCCATTGTACCCTGGGGCTTGATCTAGAGCCCTCACAGACAGTCGCACAACGGCTACCAGATATATACTGACAGAGGAGTACTGACAAGGACAAAGGAAACCGGGATGGCCATTTCTGGCCTAGTGGCCGTCATCAGCCAGCCATACCCGATCCCATGTGTAAACGATCTGGGATTCAACCCCGGGATCTGGAGTCAATGGTTTAAACGCTCTACCAATGAGCCATGAGCTCATTGTCCTGTAGTGTTTTATATTGGCCTCGAAGACACAACGAAACGGTCATATTTCGTAAACTGATCAGTAGCACCAATTTATCAAGATCTAGCCCGTTACTCACTGGTAGAACTTTCGACTCAATGATCAAAGATCCACGGCCCGAATCCCAGGTGGTTTACACTTGAGATTAACCATGACTGGCTGATGACGGCTAACGAGCCAGAAATGGTCACTCTGATCTCCACTGTATTTGTTTGTACTCCATTATCAGCATATTAATATTTGAAAATGAGTCCTTGCGATCGGTTTAGCACAGGGTAGCTAGGCAGAAAACGATGCACGCAATAGTCATACGGGTATATGCACCTTATGCAAATACGCACATAATCTCAAAGGGACTTTCAGAAGTAATAATTGTCAAAGTGTAGGTTAGGTAATTTTTGCATAAATTATTGCCATTAGATCAGAACTTCAAAACAGTTCCAAAGAAATTATTCTTTTAAAACAGAGCTTTCGTATATCTATTTCACGAGACTTTTATGGTCTTCCGTCGATCTAACAAATGTGCCTGGCAGGCGGCATAATCAGAAGATATGTCAGTTACGTCCTGACACTGTCCTTGAAGTAAGCGTTTTTTGAGGCGGTTTCCAATAGTCATGCTCGCCAAAAAAGGATGGCATATGCAGCGTTAATTTCTCCACAAGTTTGGGATGTCACTGCTAATTTAAAGACATTTCAGGGAAGATCTCTACAAGCGATTTCCGTACGCCTTCATTTTTATTCGCAAAAGTAACGTCTTTCAGTTTTAAAAACGTTTTGCAAGATTTTTGAATGATTCAAACCAGGCTTATCGTCGCACTTTCGATTAAGATTCCAAATCTGTGACCTAAGCACGTTCAATAAAAGGAAAATTGTATGTCTTTCTATGCAACATTTTTCGATTGATACGAAACATGTTTCATGCTACACTGGGAACAGCTACCCTGTTCTCTAAGCAGACATTCCACCTTTTTCAGTTTCCTCCTGGTATAAGATATTTTAAAACAAAGGTCGCCTTTTCTCGAGCTGAAAGTTTAGAATTAATGTGTTTTGGTAAAATGTGGATGTAAAAAATGGATATTTTGTGCATTTCGTTCAGAAAACGTATTTGGAAATATAAGGATATCAAAAAACCGTTCTACCTATGCACACTAAATAACTAGACATTTTAAGCGGGCGTAGGTTTTGCAGGTGGCCGGGAAGTTATGGATTTAAAAGTTGACATCCTGCAGTGGCATACATTTCTTGGGACTATGCTGCATAATAGTAAAATTTAAAATGTTGCTTAAGCAATACTTTCTAAACAAAATCGCAATGCAGAGGGCAAATTAACGTTTCATGGAATGCGCAATTACTACTTTCATATTGACAGTAAAGATACAGTACAGAACTGGTAGCGTATTTTCTGTAAATCTAATTGCCATAAACGATCTACGTATGTCTTACCCATAGCCGATCGAAACCCAAGTGAAGCTACTGCAACAGCTCTGAGTTCTACCAGTATACGCTTGTCCTGGAACGCACCCAAAAATGCAGCTTACCTGCGTGTAAAATATGAAATAAGCTGGAAACCGGGTGACGGTCCTTCGCTAAAAACAGAATCAAGGGAAATCATCATTTCGCAACTTGCTCCCAATACCACTTACGAATTCCAAGTGCACTCAATGGACGCCTTTGAAACTGCGCTTATGCCCGGCGTTTCAGCAACAGCAACAACAATGGCTAAAGGTAACTTGTACAAACCATTCCTATGATTCAGAAAACATTGTGGGTAAAAGTAGGCATTGGCTTGGGCTCGTTTTGACTTGCTCAAAATTTTGTGACAGTTCAACAGCCACACGTAATGACGTCCTCCTCCTACCCAACATGTTGTGCGCAACACCGGAAATTTGCGCTCAAATCAATTTACAGTGACAGCAAACTTGCACAGCAAATACCGCATTTCCTCCTTCCTCAACTCCCTGGCTCCGTTGTCAAGACAGTGCCGAGACGACCGGGAGGAGAAGAAGACTAATGCGCAGTGTCTTACAAAGTTGAAATACCCATCTTCACGTGTCACGTACATGCGCAACCTGGCTCTCCTGGCATCTATCACACTGCATCAAATGCAATGCGTCCTAGATAAGTGAGAGTGTAAGCAATGGCATTTAACGTCTCGCCCGCCAATATGACGATGTCTAAGTGGGTCGTATGCTTGCTGCAGTAGACGGACATGGTGTTTTATGGGTGGCGTGTTTGTGCGTGTTGTGGTGCGTGCTCATGCATAGCCTAGATAGATTTGTGTGGCTAGATTGGACGAGGTGTGCTAGTGGGGTATGGAATGCGGTTTGTCACCTAGAGTGTTCATGAAGGCGCACATGCTCGAATGTTTTGGGGCACTGCGAGCAGGTTGGACAGGAGCGGCGCTGCATGCCCTGGCTCCTGGGACTCTATTTCATAGTCCTGATGCAATCCATTGGCCAGGGATATGAGGGTACAATCACCATGGCAACTTGCTGGAACCTAGCTCATATTGCTGATGATAGGGTCAGTGGTTTAGGTGTTTTGCTGAATGATACGAGCATACTCACTGTTGATGTAAGAGGCAGTTATGTTGGCCGTGTATTGTGATGTGAAGAACACGTCAGTCTTATCGCCATTATAATGGATCCAGAGATGTCTAACGAAGTCACTCCGTACCTGTGATGTCCGTTGTCATAGTGAAAAGGAATGCAGCAGTTGGGTGTTTACGCCAGCTGCCCGTAACACTTGAATCATGGAGATCTCGTGTTTGTTTGGGTAGCGACTACTCGTATGTCTTTAAACATGGCTGCTTTAATTTTTATGTTTGACGGTCATGCCTGTCAGTCAGAGATGAAGTTCTCTCGGGCACCTAGATGGATTTTCAGATACCCAAGTAAGGTTCTCAAGATGTTCTTTTAGTGACGGTTTCGTCCTCATTCTATCCGACTACCGGAGCCATGTCAGCCGTGGATGGTCGCACGGACATGCCAGTATTACTATCAAGTAAAAGTCCTTATCATTTGCATTTAATCTTTTAGATCATACAGCATAATATTTTCGCTTTCCTGTATTTCTCCCAGATCTCGAGGGTTGGCCTTTCTGGCTGAATGCGTCTTCTATTACTCTTGTTATCTTAGTAAGTTTATAATTCCTCCGAGAATAATTAACTAAAGGAATGCGTACTGAAGATTCTTCAATATTTTAAGTATGCCAGGACGGTTTACCCGTGCCGATACGCACATTCCCGTTCTACTTCGCACGGAAAACACCCCTCAGTTTCCACTTAACTACAATATACATTTATAAATGGATTGCAATCAGAATGAGTGACCTCCTAATTAGAGACGATTTAAGTATCAGACACTAAGGCCTAGGCATCACTTCGGGAAAATTGTTGCCTCTAGCTGAGCCTTATGAAAGTTAATGATATCTTCGCGGCCCTCGGAGCTTTATTTTGTTCATCTTCAATTTCAGAAATATTCTTATGAAATGCCATCTCGACTAGCATTTTGTACAAAAGTTTGGCAGATTGCACTTGTTGACAGTAAAGCTGTTATTCATTACTTCGGAACACAAAGACCAGAACATATCCACGTTTTGGGCATAGCAACAGTTTTACTTCATCCTTAAGACGTTCAGTAACAACGCATTAATTCATCTCATAGTAATAACGACTTGTACTAATGCGATTGTCAATGCCTTTCACAAGACTGAACTGAATAGATAGGGACGCCGCAGCATATTCCATTTCGAGAAAACGCAGCTTCAGTTCTCCTGTATTTGTAACGATAGAGTGGAAGCATTTTATCCCGCACTTTTGTCAAAAGATTTTCTCTATATATTTTGCCAGCCCAAACGAGTCACATAAATAACGTTTTACCTTTTATTCTCTACTTCACTAGCCCGAACTAAAAACGAAAACACGCCAATTAGGCAGTTTATTCTTGTCAAGCATCATTAAAGTGGAGATAGAATATAGTGCTGATGAAAGATCGACTGTCGATCTAGACAACATCTACCGTTGCCTTATGTGGTGGGCCCTAGGAATGGAGATAGCGCGTTCCTTCATGACAAGCTTCAGCCATCACGGCGTGTGCCGAAAAAGTAGAGAACACCCGTTCCGTTGTTGACGTAGCTGGTAGTGGATGACATACTCCTATCGAAGAGCGGATTGCAGATAATTTTCACTGTTATCGTCTAACCACTTCTGATGCCGACGACGTGCGCTGCGCAGAGCTGCCAGAATGGTTGATTGAATGGCGAAACGCACTTCCCCTCGTTCTGACTCAACATTATCAGTCTCATCCAAAGTTAACCTTTGTTGTAGACTCCGATGCATGCGATAGATCCAAGTTAATAGAAATTCAGCGGTATTGCGTGAGTTACTAAAACTACTGATGCAGCCTAGATGATTGAAAACTTCTCGTTGGTCGGTTACGATGACGGAAAGTGCGTACGAATTTATCACATTCACTTATGTCAAACGCAAGTTGGGTTTCTGAACAATTAAATGCATGTTGTTCGGCGTCCGAAAATTTTTGGACTAAGGGTAGTTTTACTTCATGTTTTCTGTCTTCCAGTGGGTACTTTTCAAGTTCACTTGACCAATTTGGTCTATTTGACATCGACATTTTCCATGCAGGTAGCAGATCACTCCTGTTCAGCAACAAATAATAATAATAGTACTTCCGACGCGGAATTAGCTCAGACTGCATGCGGAGGAGTTACCTTGCGAAAATATAGAAAATACACAATGATGCATGAAGTTACGAAGGCGCACTTTGGTCTGTAGTTACTTATCCTCACATTTAACAATACAGCAGTAAAATGTATAGATAATTAACGCGGTACCAACAAAGACGAGGGGGACTGAAAAGACCATTTCTGGCTTATTTTCCGTCATCAGTCGTTTACTTAAGTGCTTGTAGGTTAAAACGTGTCCCGTTTTATTCATAGAAAGTATAAGTGCCAGCCACTGAAGTCAGAACGTAAATTCGGATGGTTTATTGACGGAAGTTAATTATGCTTATGGTGTTATCTGTGCTGACCTTGTTTTGTTCTGCGTTTTCGCAGTTCTTCTTTGGCAAAACAATTTTGCATACTACCACGGATCGGCCACTAACGACTGGTCGTTGCCACGTTGGTCACCAACAATACTGGTGCGGTTGTCACTGAGTTTCACACAGGTGAACTGCGTAGAGCAGAACGGCTGGCGGCACATTCCGTTTAAATGAACCGAGGTTGAATTCCGCTGTGTTTTGTATGCCCTAACGAAAGGCGCGGAGTTTTACTTACTTTATTTTAGCCTTAGACCTTTCTCTGCACTTAAAGGTCACAACAGAGTACGCCGTGAGCAAAGATTTTAGCAACGGTAGGGTGTAGGACCGCAACCAGCTTATATTAGCCTGTGGACTGTGTCATACGTTGAATGGCGACAGAGGGAGTTTTACGGGTGGGGCAACACACAGGACGGAGAGCAGGAAGACACAGATAATAAATAAATTTCTGCCAGAAGTCTAATGGTACGCTGTCATTTTGGACAGAGTTTGAGCGCTATAATTAAAAAATAAAAAAGCTACCTTCGAAAATAATGACTTTGAATAAAGCGTCGCTGGTAAGTTTGCGCTTAGTCAGAAAGGGAATAAAATTCAATCTACGTGAACGGTGAATAATAGGTGGTGTTTACGTTCACATCGAATTGTGGTGTATATTTCGGAGTTGCCAGCTAGATGATGTCCAACACTCTTACTTTACCAGGGCCTTATCTTTGAGTACTGATTGTGTCTGCTAGAAGTAATGCGCTAGCCTATCAGGCAGACCGTCGATTCAAGCCAAGCAAATGGTGGCGGACGATATCGTCGATGGCAGATGGCGTCCAGCGCAGCCAAAAATTTCCTTTGTTCTTCGCTAAAAATTCGTTCGATAAATAGAACCCAATCGGTTTATTAGTACCCTGTGGTAAAGTAATACCTGCCATTACAATCACGATGAGAGATAGCTTTGCACTGAAGGGAGAAAATCATGGAAAATGAAGACGAAAACATTTTTGTGCTTATGCGTTTGGGGTAAGTCGATGGACACAAATGGGATTGCAAGGACATTCATGGACGTGTTAGTGACCACATAATTTCTGACTTCATTTAATTCCTACTCCATGTCCTCCCTAGCATTTCGTGAATGCGCCTAAAGTACGCTTAACCATTGAATTCTTTTTAAAATCAACATTTTCGTACGTAAACAGTTTGCCGCTCAAGTCGGAGAGCGGGTACTATTAGTATTCCATGCACGGAACTAGATCAGACTGTCTGCGTAAAGGTTAACTTATGAAATATTATACACTCATCCTTAATAATAGGTTTTTTCCCCGAAAGATGAAGTTAAGAATATTCACCGAATTTTATAGTAAACATTCACTTGTTGTTTCTTTGCAGACACCGATCATACTTGTGGTGGTCTACTTTGTGTTCTCATACAAAAACCCGAGTTGGAGCTTGCTGAGTAACGAGAAGCCCCGAATAAATACGGAAGAGCAGCCCGTTTTCGGCTAACACCCTCTAATTAGTCGCGTTCAAGGTTGTTACCGTTTGAAAGCGTTTAAAAATTCCTCGGTAACTAAAATTCTTCGTACGTGCTGAATATCTTCCACAACGCATGCCTTGCGAATTTTATGATGTGTGCATCTGTATCTTTAATGTTCTGATCTATAAATAAACCCATTTGAAAAATTCAAATTTTGAATGGCCCTGATTCATGAGAACCATTTTACATGACCAGGCAAGATAATACGTTGTTATCACCAACAAAAATAACTGCAAGGACCGTACAGACCTTCGGAATACATTATGCTCAAGAACATCTTGGGTCTTCGAAGCCTCTCTTTATTACCTCCCGTTGTGAGAGCTCGACTGTCCTTGCCGACAATTTCACCTGTTCGTCCAAGCAAAGTGGGTACAAGCACGATGAATTGTGCGGGAATTAGTTTGCAACAATAGCAGGCTTGCACTTCATCTACCGCACTCTCTCCTCACTTAACCGCCTAAGCCGTGTGCGGTACGGGATAGGGCGCACTGGTTTACAAGGCTAAGTCCCCCGTCAACGCCTGCCAAACAGAATCGATCAACATACGATTGGTCAGGAATTCATATGAACAGCAGAGAGGAGTGGCTTGGATCCGAACTGTGTGGAAGAGCCATAGAGGTCGCATTAAAATGGACTCATTGAAGTCCGAATCTCAGTCCTGAGACGTGGAGTTATGCTGGCAGCTGTCGGCTTCCCGAGCCACGGCTCTTAGTTTCCCCTCATAGTTTAAAAGCCCATCGGTTGGTTTATAGTGAGGAATATGCGCTGTGTGCCAGGAGAGCACAGTCCTCATGATCGGTCTCACATTCTCTCATCCCTCTCCCGGCATCAATACATTGTGTGAGCCGGTCTGTCATCCAAAGCAGAGATTGGGCGTAAGTGGACGTCTGCGCGTGACACACACGACCTGATCACTCGCATGACATATTTGGCTTCCACCCAAAGGAATACTCGGCTCGGATCTTTCGAGCGTAAGTTCCGTACAGGAAAAGATGAGAAGGTGCCTATGAAACTGACTCGCATTCCGGTAGTTCGTCCTTCCACACGAATCCGCATAGGGTCGATTGCCGGCTTTGTGTTGCCCCGTCAGTTGGCCACCTTCCAAGCCACGATGTTCGGCGCGTCCTTATAAGTTCGCACGCGTCAGGCTTATTATAGTGAATAGGAATATGGTCAGTAGAGTCGGGCTTACTCTCTCCTCCATTACCCCTGCGTCGGACGATTGTCCAAACCTGGCAATCAACTGATGCTGAGATTGGACGCAGTGTCAAACGAAATTAAAGCAGCCCGTCTGGGCGTTCCCCACAGGAGCAAACCCCCTACACTGCACACTAGGCCTTCAGAGAACGGGGATGGACCGTTCACATCCCACTTGTTTGGGTCGCACGGAGATGGAGTAGAGGAACCCACCTCCAACTTGCGTGAGAGATACCTATTCCGTGCCCACGATGATTGATATGAGAGGAGGTCGTCTGTTATGCATGGGCTGATGGAGAAAGGTGTGCCAACTGGATATGCTCTACATTGCCTTGCACAGATTTACATGAGAACGTGTGTTTTCGATTAAGCTTAATGTGCGTGATCGCTTCAATCAGATGGGGAAAGGGCGAGGGACAGTGGTTCCCCGGCCGTTTTTTGATGGATTCGCAAGTGCCCAATGAGATTGCTGCGTGATGCGCATGTGTGATGGCAATCTGGACAGGATAGTTTAGAGGTCGCTGATTTGGTCGCGGTGATGATGTTGCTTGTGTGGGCTACGCTGGTGGAAGGGGAGCTGACAATTCTGGAGACGGAAGAGTTGTTGGATATGCTGGGTGGGCTTGGCATTTCGTCGTTGCAGTGAGTTGCGCTGTAGTGACTACCCATTTGGCGACTGACCGTGCATGGGCAGTGTAGACAGAAGAGGGTGGTGCGGCAAGTGCATATTGGTGCTCCTGGCACTGATTCCCCGACCGCTTCACGTGAATTCGCAAGTGACAGGTCGCAAGGAGGACAGGTTGAGACCAAGTTTATACTGCTGGTGGCGGGGGCATTGGCGGTGATGGTGGCAGTCATCGTCGTCCTCGTCGCAGGAGTTGGCCGGCGAGGAATCAGAAGTCCGACCACTGGTAGCGTAGACAGTGGAATCCGCGTGAATCAGTGTAGGAGCAATGATGAGAGCGTTTGAGAATGCAACAGTTGGAATTGTGGGTTTGTTGTTGCACTGGGTCCGGAGGTGGTCGTCGAGGTAGATCAGTTGGAGAATGCGTGATAACAGTATGAACTTGTTAAAAGTGGTTGGGTTTTGGGTCAGAAGCGCTTGAGAATTTCATATCAATTTTTTCCTTCTGAAAAGCGCGTTTTAGTTGGCTGCGTACATTGCTGTCCCAGTCTTCGGTGCCCTTCTGCAGATCGATTGGTCCTGGGCGAGGTATTCTCACATTTTCGGACCGGCTTGCATTTGCTTGGCAGAAGTTTCCTGGTTATCTTCACAGCCCCCTCCTTGTCGACTGACACCCGTAGCGACATCGTGGTAGAAGAGTGCCCTTAGTAGGCGCTTGTCGTCTGTCCTTGCGAGGCGGCCTCTAGTTTGGACTTGTAGTTGTCGCAGCGTGACGCGGATGCTGAGGATTTCGGTCTATTCGAGTAGCATTTTTTCCAGGATCCTGCCTTGCAGTCACATCTTCAGTATTGTTTAGAGGACGTTTTCGATATACACTGCCCAGGCCTTCGTCCAGCACAGCAGAGTTGTCAAGATGACAGCGTTGTACCTCTTGAGTACTGTGTTGAGATTGAGACGATGGTGATTCGAAACGGAGATCTGCATCCGGCCGAAGCTCTGTCGACTTCAGAAATCCGGCTTGCAACTCCAGCATCCATTTTCGCCTTCTACGAGGGTGTAATGCTTAAACAGACGACGTTTTCCCCTCGCTTGAGCTATATGGCGTTTACAGTGATGCAAGGGCCGTTGTAATCTGTAGCAGGCGACGGTTGATGTACGACCACAATTTTATCTATACTGGTGGTTAGCCCAACGCGTTTAGGACTGACGACGAAGAGCCTCATGCTCCGTTACATATCCACTTCTGTCGCGGTGTTGAGAGCCCACTCTTCCGCGAATAGCAGGTCGTGGACAATAGTCATGGAGAGACGCGTTGGTGCCTGCATGCCCATCGGTTGGTTTATAATGAGGAGTATGCGATGAGTGCCAGGACGGCACAGTCCTCATAATAGGTCTCTCTTTCTGTTATCCCTCTCCCGGTCATCAATACATTGTGTGAGCCGGTCTGTCATCCGAAGCAGGGATTGGGCGTAAGTGGCTGACAGGACAAAAGTGGACGTCTTCGCGTGCTACATACGACCTGATCACGCGCATAGCACCCAAAGGAATACTCGGCTGGGATCTTCCGAGCGTGAGTTCCGTACAAGGGAAGCTGAGAAGGTGCCTATGAAACTGACTCTCATTCGTACCACACAAATCCACATAGGGCGTCGTCAGTTGGCCACCATTAAAGTCACGATTTTCAGCTCGTCATTAGATATTCGCACGCGTCAGGCTTATCATAGTGAATAGGAATGTCATCAGCAGAGTCGGGCTTACTCTCCCCTCCATTGCCCGTGTACCAAGCGATTGTCCAAACCTGGCAATCAACTGGTGCTGAGATTTGACGTTGTGTCAAACAAAATTAAAACAGCGCGTCTGGGCGTTCCCCACACGAGCTAACCCCTTATATTGCACACTAGACCTTCACACAACGGGGATGAACTGTTCACACCCCACAGGTGTTTGGGTCGCACGGAAATGGAGTAGAAGAACGCACTTCCAACTTGCATGAGAGGTACCTATTCCGTGCCCGCGATGATTGATATGAGAGGGGATCGTTTGATATGCATGGCTGATGGCAAATGCGTGTTAATTGGATTTGTTCGACATTGTCTTGCGCAGATTTACATGGGAACGCGTGTGGTCGATTAAGCTCAATGTGCGTGATCGCAACAAGCAGATGGGGAAAGGGAAATTGACTTTGGTTTCCCTGCCCTTTTCTGATGGGTTCAAAAGTGACCAATGAGACTGATGCGTGATGCGCGTGTGTAGTGGCAATCTGAGCCGGAAAGATTATGCGCCGCTGACGTGATCGGGATGATGGGGCTGCTTGTGTTGGCTACGTTGGTGGAAGGGGAACTGGAAATGCTGGAAACGAAAGATTCATATTGACCCAACTGTGAAAAACTCGGCGCCTCGGTGGGATTCGAACCCACGCAGTAAGGGGAAGGCTTTAGTACAGCCAATCAATGAATTATTTGAGCCTAGTAGTCATCTGGTGGATTCTAGGTGAATTACTTAGGAAATCCTACTTGGGCAGTCAACTTACTGTATCAGATTTGGTGAATTTCCAGACGTTGCAGTAGGTTGGGCGGGTAACTTGACCCAAGTGTGATAAAACTCGCGTCGTCCGGCGGGGCCTCGTAGCTCAGGTGGTTAGAGCGTTGGCTGTACTAAAGCCTTCCCCTTACTGCGTGCGTTCGAATCCCACCGAGGAGCCGAGTTTTTCACAGTTGGGTCAATATGAATTATTCTAAATCTGCCAAATTATCAAGGAAACGAAAGAGTTGTTGGATATGCAGGCTGGGCTTGGCATTTCGTCGTTGCAGTGAGTTGCTCTACCGTGGCTGCCCATTTGGCGACTGACCGCACGCGGGCAGTGTGGACAGAAGAGGGGATGCGGCGAGTGCGGGTTAGGGCTCCTGGCACTGACTCCCTGATCTCTTCAGGTGAATTCGAAAGTGACTGAAGAAGTGAATTTGCGGTCACAATGAGGACAAGTTTAAACCAAGTCCATCCTGATGGTAGCGGGGACATTGGTGATGATGGTGAGGCTTGGAGGGGTATTGTGAGTGTGGCATGGGGGTGACAGTAATCGTCGCCCTCGTTGCAGGAGTTGTAGCAGGGATAATGGAGGTGTCCGTGTTCGACGGCGGCGCAGAATCA